CCACTAGAAGATTAATGAGAACACATAGACAGTTGACCAGTTAGAATATTGATAACACATGGACAGTTGACCAGTTGGAAGATTAATGAGAACACATGGACAGTTGACCAACTAGAAGATTGATGAGAACACAGGGACAGTTGGCAGACTAGAAGATTGATGAGAAAACATGGACAGTTGGAAAATTAGAAGATTGATGAAAACACATGACAATTTGTGAGACTAGAAAATTGATGAGAACACATGGACAGTTGGCAGACTAAAAGATTGATGAGAACACATGTACAGTTGGCAAAGTAGAAGACTCATGAGAACACATGGACAGTTGGCAAACAAGAAGATTGATGAAAACAGATGGACAGTTGACATATTAGAAGATTGATGAAAACACATTAAAATGTGTGAGACTAGAAGATTGATGAGAACACATAGACAGTTGGAAAATTAGAAGATTGATGAAAACACATGCAAATTTGTGAGACTAGAAGATTGATGAGAACACATGGACAATTGGCAAACTAGAAGATTGATAAGAACACATGGACAGTTGTCCCACTAGATTGATGAGAACACATGGAAAGTTGACCCACTAGAAGATTAATGAGAACACATAGACAGTTGACCAGTTAGAATATTGATAACACATGGACAGTTGACCAGTTGGAAGATTAATGAGAACACATGGACAGTTGACCAACTAGAAGATTGATGAGAACACATGGACAGTTGGCAAATTAGAAGATTGATGAAAACACATGACACTTTGTGAGACTAGAAGATCGATGAGAACACATGGACAGTTGGCAGACTAGAAGATTGATGGGAACAGATGGACAGTTGACAGATTAGAAGATTGATGTAAACACATTAAAATGTGTGAGACTAGAAGATTGATGAGAACACATAGACAGTTGGCAAATTAGAAGATTGATGAAAACACATGGATAGTTGGCAAATTAGAAGATTGATGAGAACACATGGATGGTTGGCTCAGCGAAAAATTATGTGGAAAGTTTAGAATTGTGGACGTATAAAAAACATAATGGTGATATCATGAAAGAAATTAACTCATAGAGAAACTGGTTACCCATATCAGAAGGAGAAAATCTACATTTGGTGGGCACTTTGTGAAGAGGGGAACATTTGAATACTTGATGGCAGTGAGAAAGTTAGAGGAGAAGAGAGGCAGAGGAAGACCAAGGAAGTTGTTGGACAGTAGAGCATGGAAGAACATCTGTAACAGAAATGATTGAGGGCACACAAGACAAATGGCTTTGGATAGACATGATTATTATCTCCACATTGTATGGGCAATAAAAAAAAAGGTTATCATTCATATCTAGTGTGAAAGTGTTTGCTGTTTTTATTTTAGAGAAAACTGTTTATATTTTCTATGTTTACATTAACTTGTTCAACCTAATTTTATCTTGAAAATTATGTTTTCTCTTTAATTAGACTAACTAGTTGTTGAAAGAAAATACATTGGCACACTAATATGTTAGCGTATGTTAGGTCAAAGCCATGCTTGATGTTGCGTCACTGTCATAACTGCTCACATAAAGCAGCAAATTGTTCATTTTTCTCAAAGGTTTCAAGAGACGGGGCACATTCGACGATGGATTCCCACACCGTTCTGAATTTGGAGCACCTTTTTTCAAAAGACCAAGATTCTAGTAGCAGTTTTTAAATTAATGTCAGATAATTTGCCTGTTTTTCCCCCTTTAATTTAATTATGTCCACATTCATTTGTGTTGTGTCCCCCCCCCCCCCCCCCCCCCCCCTAAATGTGTGTGTGTGATTTAAAATGTTAACCCTTTCAGCCCCAGAGGGATACAATTTTAGAATTTCCGTCTGTTATCCCTTCCTGCAAAACCTATATATTGGCTACGTTTTGCTGGCCAGACCCCTTCAAGCCTAGTTGTCGGCTTTGGTTTTGTTTATGCCTGCTTATGTAATGAAAGTTTGTATAGCATTATTTGCTCAACAACAAAAAAAGGCCTGAGGGAGGGGGGATGAGGGGTTATTTTGGGGACAAAGTGACCATTTTTAACTTATTATGATGTTATAATTTGCCTTTATTTGTAGCATAGCGACTGGGTCATGGTGGATACGCCATATACATTTATTTTACCCTAAAGGGAATGTAATCTAGTCTGTTTCGATCGTATTTAATGACTACTTCCCTTCATATATTTCTGTTCAAAATGTTTTTAAAAAAAAACCTGAATTTTTAAAATAAAACATTAGTTACCTGTGGAGTGTTTTTGTAAAAGGATTTTTCAGGAATTTCTCTGTTCCTAACCCTTTTTCTCAAAGTATTTTGGGTTAAGAGGGTAATTGATTGGGCACATATTTTGGGCTTTGTTTTTGCTGTATCTTATTGTTTGCTGACAAATATTTTTAATAATTGTAATTGATTTGTGAAAAAGTTGTTTGCATATTTTAAAACTGCTGTTTACTGTTGTCAATTTAAAATGCATGTACATTGACACCTGATACTTAAATGTGTCATACACTTTTATCTTTATCAAATATCCGAGTTTTAAACACATTCTAATGATTTTTTCCCCCCACAAAAATAAGATTTTTTCTTTATGGCTATCCAACAAGCTTGCAGGTTATTATGATTTGTTAAGGTGTTATTTGCCGTCCTGGGCACATAACCTTTCAGACTGTCATTATATGGGTTAGGGAAAATATTAGCTGTTGCTACTGGAACTTAAATGTTTTCTGTTGAGTCTTTTGATAAATTCAGCGTCAGACACGGAAATGATCAACATTGATAATGAGGAGATTAAGGGGACTAAAGAGATAAGCTACAAGATGGGAAGTTTGTTTCGTCTGATGGCTTAGGTTTCGTTAAGGATACTTTTGTTACACACAGATATCGTAAGTGCTGCAGTCTCTCTGAATAGATCACACAAAAAGAATTTTAACACAGTGCACAAGCTTTGTAGCACTACCAGGGATCCATATAGAATCACACTTGCTATAAATAACCTTTAACTTTTATGTGGGTACGTTTCTGATTGTAACATTTTTCCGGCTATTCTGTCAAAGCTTTTTGTTTCCAAAGGAGGGAGGAACAGTGAAAAGGTTACCAGCATGTTTTATTTTATGAAAAATATTTGCACAGTCCAGCCCGTGAAGTAAACTATGTCTGTAGAAGGCAGTATCTTTCTGTGTTGGTTCCCGGGTCCAAATGTTTGGGGCAGAAGAAAATAGACCCACAGCCCCATCCAGTAAGCATGTCATGAAAAGTGACGACTCAGTTGGGGTTTGCTGAAAGTGGCAGATATGACAGCCTTGCTCAGAACCACAGCACAGCTTGCCAACACAGAAGAAGAATAGGTAATATCAAAGTTGGCCTTAGAGAAATGAAGCCTAGTTTAGTGAATTAGAGAGAGCTAATAGTATCACTACATCTCTCTACTTACCTTCCTACATATGATAATACAGAACTGTGGCTGGCCGAACAGATATACATACAGGTCTCTCATGTGGGAGATCAGGGTTCAAATCCTAGGTAAGGTAGGGGATTTCTTCTGTTGGGGGCGTAAATAAAATTATTACCTGCACAGTCTGTGGCGACAGCACTAGCCATGTGGCCTTGAATCCTCAGGCTTTAAGATCGCCCACGTACATCACAATTACACAAACAGATTATCCTCAGGTTTTTCTCTTTCATTTTTGCTTCTCTTCTGCTGTTGTTGTTATGTTGTATTCTAATTCTAAAGTCAGCATATTGATATTGTTTGTATTGTGTTGCTGATTTATGTCTTTTTTTTTTTTTTTTCAAGTTAAATGTATAGCTTATGTGATTCTTGCCATCCACTATATTATCATTAAAATGTGCTTAGAAATAATGCATTACATGTTATATTAAATACTGTTCATTTGTTATAGAGATTTAGCTACCAAAATACAAAAGATAAGTTCTGTACATTTGTAAGGAAGGACCCTTTCCATGTCATTAGTGCACCAGCTCTGTGGTGCAACACTCATACTGCCATATTCTTATTGGTCAGTCAACACTCCCTGGTTGATGTGGTCGACGCCGGTCATCTTTACTTTCCAAGCCATTTCCTAAGATCCATTTAGGCTGGGTCTACCTTGGGGCCAAGGACATTTGATTTTAAACAATCTTGGTTCAGATTGCAATCCTTGTACCTGTGGACCAGCAGGCAATCATCTAGCCACTACACTGCCACAACACTTCCCTTAATGCATATTTTATAATGAGACTACCAGTTTATGGTCGTTAATGTAGTGTAAGTCATTTTTGGAATATCCAGCTGTGTGTGTAGGGGGAAGGAGGAGGCGGGGGATGACAGTTTGACATGCCTTGTGTATATTTTGAAAGAAAATGAAGTAAAACAGACAAAATTCACAGAATAGTTAGAGAACGTGACTGAATAATAAGATGCAAAATTAACAGGCTAGTTAAGAAAAATACTGGATGAAAACAGGCCAAAATATCATAAATAGAGATTGTCTTTCAGAAAAGAAGAAGAGGACAGGTGTCTCACTAGTGTAGAAAAGTCTGTTCTGAAGTCAGTATAACTCATGGATCCAGACTGCATTCTATGTGGTTTTTGCTGGCACAGGAAGAATGCACCTGTGAGCTGACCCATGTGCTGTAAAGTTTAAACTGCAGTTAACTGCTTCATTGACCATGGATTGAGGTATTTGGTTTTGGCAGCCTGATAATTGTCGAGACAATGTGAAAACTGGCCATTTTTACATTAGTTATTGCACAAGTAAGGTAGCCCTGGACTAATTGAAATAACACAAAAAGGCAACTATGAAACTTGACAACAGGAATGACACACAAACAAGTGAATGTCTTAACCACACTCATGAATGTACAACACCAAAGAATACATTTGTATTCATTTTTCTCAGTTACATTTGTGTGTTCATTCAGTTATTCCTCTTATCTGCTTGGTAGCAGGGATTGTCTCATTTCAAACCACTGCTCTGCTCATAGTCACACTCAGCCATGATGGCAGGGCACATAGGGCTAGTACTTGCTGTAACCTGTTACATGTAAGAAAAGAACCCTTATTCACAATCAGGCATATTGGGCCTAAAGTGCCGAAGCTATATTTTATAGACCATTTGGCACTCCATGTGTGATGTGATCAGCTTTACCTGGTACCCATTTAAGGCTCGGTCGACCTGGAAGCCAAAAGTCATTCTTTACAAAAAAAATTTCCAGTTCCCTCAGGGCCTAGACCCCTGACCTTCGGAACTGCAGACAAGTATCTGGCCACTACGCGATGTTGGCTTCCCTCTTACGGGTACCTTAATTATAACTTGCTTGTTGAGCGGTGTATCTAGGATATGCCATTGTTGATTTTATATGCATGATACTGCTCTTAGAATCACAAGAGTATTAAAATTGAGACAGCAGCCCAGTGGGAACAGTCAGTCGGTCAAAGCAGTGTTTCCTGATTGTCAGTTTGAACAAGGAAGACACAAACAGTAGATTGCACAATTTATTGCCTGGCGTATTTCGCTGTATCTTGTCAGGTACAAATTAAGTAACTGTTTCACCAGGGTAAACGCAGGTTCATGACTATTTTCTTTGGTCTGAATATTTCTGGACTGAACCAGTTAATTATTATGGCTTCCATATAGTGGAGCTTTCTGTGGCTGTTTAAAGTTGATTTTGTATTTCAGTTAAGGTTCATTTGGTTGTTTCATTTGAATCACATGTGACTGTGGTATGCACGTGAACAAGATACAGCGAAAAATACCAGGCAGTAAATTGTGCAGCCAGTCATTTGTGCAGAAGAAGTATGTTCTTTCTCTCTGTGTTCTATGACGCTTACTGCTGACACACTACACCTCCCGGGTATCCACTTATTACTGTAAGATAGTTGTATTTATGTCTTGTCTTGTCTTGTCTTGTCCACAATTGCCTCACAGCGTAGTGGGGAGTCGCAGTTTTCTATCCTGGGCCAGGTGTGTTGCACGTGTTGTTGTTAGTCCGTGTTGCCTCAGGATCTCTGATATTTATGTACTAAGTTTAAATGCCCATTTGTTCTGGCATCACAATTAATAAATATTATTCCAAAGTAAGCTTTTAATTTTATATTTCAGTAAAATTGCAGATCATTGTTGGAAAAAACAAAAACAGAAAAAAAGTATTTAAAACATAAAATGTTTGCAAAATAAATTACTATGGAGTAGAGTATCTCATTTCTTTACAAGACTTTCTGATGAATTATCCAGTTTTGATAATATCCAGTTGGTGAGTTAGGTCCCTTGGTCTGAAACAAACACAGGTTTACTGTGAAGCCTCATGTCTAGTCTATGATTTCTTTGCCATCCCCAGAGAAAAGGAAAATGTTTGCTGAATACATCAGTACAGAGCTTTTGTCATTGCTGACCACGGACCCAACCAAGAAATACAAATTTGATCTTGCCAATTATCGCACGCCCAGTGGGCGCTTGTATTGTTCATACTGTGATACTTCCATGGATGACGAACCACAGTTTCTGCTTCATCTTGGCAATCGGAAACATCAGGATGCATTGTCCATGAAAAAGAAATGCAGGAAACCTGAGATCTTTGCTGTCAGTTCCATAAAAAGTGTGAGAGTTTGATGTATCATAGATGGCTTTCCTCAAAATTCTAGGTGAATTTCATCCAGTCATTTAGGTTTTTTTTCAATTAGATGATATCCCATTTTTCGAGGATACCCTTTCTTTGTGTGGAAAATACAAGGTATTCAAAAAGTCATGCACCACATCGCTTTTCTCAGGAGCTGTTTATTCAAAAAAGCAGAAAATGTTTACATGGATATGTCTTGTAAGCATTAATATTTGTCAACATATCTTCCCATCAGCTTGTATAACTGTTTGCCAGTGCCAGATTAGTCGCTGCATTCTTAACCCATACCAGATTTTGTCTTGATCATGTAGCCATCTCTGTGTTGCATGGATCACTCCATCCTCTTCAGACCTTATCCCACGTAGTGCGTCTTTAAGTGGACCAAATAAATTAAAATGTGGACATGGGATGGATGGAGTAGTATAGCACAACCCAATTTGGTGATTGTTTAGCATATTGCCAGACTTGTGTGAGGGCCCACATTTTCGTGAAGCAGAAGCAGGTCTGCTAGATTCTTGTCTAGCTAAACTCTACACAAACTTTGATTAGGTTTTTTTTTCCTCAAAGTTTTAATGGGTTGATTCTCTCCTGTTGGCATAACCTTAACAAGAATTACACCTTCCATGTCCCAAAAGACAATGCTCATGACCTTTCCAGCTGAAGGAGTTGCCTTGAATTTCTTTCTCAATGGGATTGCAGATAGTGCCACTCCGTTGACTGGCTTTTTGTCTCAGGTTCAAAACGTTGTGCTAAGATTTGATAATCTGTAATGATCTTAGCCAAAAAATTATCTCCGTCAGCATTGAAATGCTCCAGTAATTCAGAAGAAATTGCTTTCCTTTGAAATTGATGGTTTTTTGTGAGAAAGACGAACAAACCTTAGAAAATCAGTTTTTATATCTGCATTTGCACTACCACTGTTGACTGACAGCTGTAAGGCCAATCAGTGAATTAACAACTGTAGGGTCAGTTGTTGAGTAGTGATTCGCTAATCAATAAGAATAATGGCCCTGGTGCCTTTCAACACTTCTGTGTTGGTGGCTGTAGCAAGACATCCACCGTGTGACCAGTCAAGTTTGCTATGTTTTTCCACTTCCTAGTTCTTGGATTATCTGAATCCAGCAACTGATTTTACTGCTGTCAACTGTAAAACTTCCATACACATCACATAGATGCTTGTAAATGCTTACAATTGTTTCCTTGTCTGCAATAAGAAAGTCTACCACAATTCTCTGCCTATAACGCAAATTGCTAACACACTCCATTTCGGCCTTTTTTGACTGGTTGCAGTGCACTTTGGTGCATACAAGTGACACATTCCATTTTTTAAATGTGCAAAATTCATTATTAGCTGAGAAAAACCTTGTGGTGCATTATTGTCTGAAAGCCCCTCATATTTCATCTTGTTTATTTTATAGTTTTTGTTTTTGTGTTGTATGTTTTTGTTCAATAACTTTACTGTTTAATTCTGCATTACCTCTGAAAGGAGGCTGGTCATACATTTCCATCCTGACTGCAACGTAACAGGAGACATGGAGAAACAAGGTACTATTAAAGTTCTCTTGTTTGCACTGAACCACATTGAAAAACATATTGTTAGTGCAAGGAAGCTAAAGCAATAAAACTGCTCAACACCTGTCAAGCCAAAACTGTAGAAATCTGCAGGGAAGATTTGACTTCTTTAACATGCTGCAACCCCTAAAACACGCCTCAGTGAAAACTATTGTGACAGGGTGTGGTAAATCGGTCATGTGATAACTGGTTTAGTTTGAAAAATAGGATGTTTTTTTCACTATCACTCAAAGCACGTGTTTGTCAGCTCAAGAGGTAGTTTAGCAGTTTGGAAATAGAACAAACACTGTACACAGTATGAATGTTCTCCACATTTCCTTCATAGCCTGGGTAGAGACTTAGAAACATTAGCATAGCACCAGTGTTGCCACTTTTCTTTGACAAAAAACAACCAAAACGGAGTAAAAAATATATAGAAAAACATCTAAAATTGTGTGGAAAACATCTAGAAATACCATCCAAATGGAAAGAGTCACAAATTACATAGCAATTGAAATGACTTACCCTATAGAATCATGTCCTCATCTTTACTGAAGTCTGCCTTACAAGATCCACAGGATAAACTAGCTTGGATGATGAAGTTGAAGCTTCAGATCCAAAATGACTGGTATGCTTTAGCTGTTCCAATTTCTTTTGATACCTAATCAGGGAGCTGATAAGTGGAACAGCCTTTTCTTACTCTTATCAGGCCAAATTGTATTGTCAAGATAGGATTTAAGAGGTCAAATTTCATCCTGTTTCTTAGGTTAGATTTGATAAATTCATTTCAAATGAAAACTTCTAGAAAAACATCTACCATCTAAACATCACAAATGCCATCTAAATGCAAGGGAAAACATCTAAATCTGGATGTAAAACATCCAAAATGGCAACACTGCATAGCACCCTATATTGAAAAAGAAATGCCTTCAAGTAAACAAGTTCTGTTATTGGGAGCTGGGTGTAGTCCTTGTGGTGCAAAATTCAGGGTTTAATTTCACACTTTGTGGGGTCTATCAAACCCTTGTGACTGCTGGGCTTTGCGCAAAGAGAGAGAGAGAGGAGCATAAATTTAGTTTAGAAATGACTGTGAAGAAACACTAGATTTAACTTGGGAGTTGATCAATTAAATAACAGGGTGGAAAAAGGACATTTAACACAGGTGTTCATTGATTACATAACATAGTAGCGAAAACATTTAACATTGATGTTCACTTGATGAATGTACAAATAAATGTAGAAATTATGCATTTAACATGGGTGTTCATTCCTTAAACTGTAGTAATTACACATTTAGCATGGGTGTTCTTTTTTTAACTAGAAATGTAGAAACTATACATTTAACATGGGTGTTCATTTCTTAAACTGTGTAGTAATTACACATTTAGCATGGGTGTTCTTTTGTTAACTAGAAATATAGAAACATTGAACAATTGGTGGGTACTTTTCTTTCTTCATAGGGATTGCAGATAATGCCACGCCATTGACTGTCGTCTTTTTGTCACAGGTTCAAAATGATGTACCCAGGCTTCGTCACCTGTAATGATCTTAGCCAAATATATATTTAAATGTTCTTCAGTTTTTCTAAGAAGTTGAACAGAAGACCAACACATGATTTCATACTTGTAAACGGTCCTGTGAGAGTTTAGCTAGTAAGAAACAATCACAAACATGCTACTTGTTCCTCAAAGAGTGCTGACGTTTTGAAAATGTATTTATTCACACACCTTTAAATGTCTCTGTATTGCTGATTGTGTCTTTGTGTTCTGTATTGCTTGTTTGAGTTATAGTTGTGAGAGTCAATGTGTTTATTAACTTGTGCTTGTTTGAGTTATAGTTGTGAGAGTCAATGTGTTTATTAACTTGTGCTTGTTTGAGTTATAGTTGTGAGAGTCAATGTGTTTATTAACTTGTGCTTGTTTGAGTTATAGTTGTGAGAGTCAATGTGTTTATTAACTTGTGCTTGTTTGAGTTATAGTTGTGAGAGTCAATGTGTTTATTAACTTGTGCTTGTTTGAGTTATAGTTGTGAGAGTCAATGTGTTTATTAACTTGTGCTTGTTTGAGTTATAGTTGTGAGAGTCAATGTGTTTATTAACTTGTGCTTGTTTGAGTTATAGTTGTGAGAGTCAATGTGTTTATTAACTTGTGCTTGTTTGAGTTATAGTTGTGAGAGTCAATGTGTTTATTAACTTGTGCTTGTTTGAGTTATAGTTGTGAGAGTCAATGTGTTTTATTAACTTGTGCTTGTTTGAGTTATAGTTGTGAGAGTCAATGTGTTTATTAACTTGTACTTGTTTGAGTTATAGTTGTGAGAGTCAATGTGTTTATTAACTTGTACTTGTTTGAGTTATAGTTGTGAGAGTCAATGTGTTTATTAACTTGTGCTTGTTTGAGTTATAGTTGTGAGAGTCAATGTGTTTATTAACTTGTGCTTGTTTGAGTTATAGTTGTGAGAGTCAATGTGTTTATTAACTTGTGCTTGTTTGAGTTATAGTTGTGAGAGTCAATGTGTTTATTAACTTGTACTTGTTTGAGTTATAGTTGTGAGAGTCAATGTGTTTATTAACTTGTGCTTGTTTGAGTTATAGTTGTGAGAGTCAATGTGTTTATTAACTTGTACTTGTTTGAGTTATAGTTGTGAGAGTCAATGTGTTTATTAACTTGTACTTGTTTGAGTTATAGTTGTGAGAGTCAATGTGTTTATTAACTTGTACTTGTTTTGAGTTATAGTTGTGAGAGTCAATGTGTTTATTAACTTGTGCTTGTTTGAGTTATAGTTGTGAGAGTCAATGTGTTTATTAACTTGTACTTGTTTGAGTTATAGTTGTGAGAGTCAATGTGTTTATTAACTTGTGCTTGTTTGAGTTATAGTTGTGATAGTCAATGTGTTTATTAACTTGTACTTGTTTGAGTTATAGTTGTGAGAGTCAATGTGTTTATTAACTTGTACCTTCAGCAGTAGCATTAATTGCTGTTCGTATTGATTGATATATTTCACATCACATCCCTTTGCTTAACACACACACACACACAAAACCTGCAGATGAAGACATATGCTGAATAAATAATTTGTTTACTTTCTAAGAGACTTCTTGCAGAAGTCAGATGTGTAGCCCGAAAAGAGCAAATATCACAGCCATGCTGTAAATGGACACACCACAATTATATCCTCAGATGAATGCAGAAGAAGAAAAAGAAGTAATCATGTTAATAATAAACTGTTTGAAAAGAAGGGTACTTATTCAGTGATTTGTCTTTGTGAAGTCTTGTTACATGCCACCACAAGGGCAACAGAGATTGCTGCTGTAGAAACCATTGCTGATTTCTTTCTAATTGTTCTTAGAGGAGACCTAGAACAGCATCACTGATGGTTACAGATCATGGCATGTTTTCTTACAGGGAGCTCTTGAACATCAGTAATGATATTTTGAATGTCAGTA